TTTCTGCTTCCTTCTTGTTCCTTCTTCTTTTCCTCCTTTTCCTGTTTCTTCTTCTTTCCTTTTCTTCTTCTTTCTTCTTTCTATTCCTCTTCCTTCTTCTTTTCCTCTTCCTGTTCTCTTCTTTTTTCTTTCTTGTTCTTCCTTTCCCCTTCCTCTTCTTCTTTCTTCTTCTTTTCCCCCTCCTCTTGTTCTCTTCTGCTTTCCTCTTCCTTTCCCCTTCTCTTGTTCTTTCCCCTTCTTCTTGTTCTATTCCTTCCTCCTTTTTCTTGTTTCTCTTCTTCTTCTTTCCTCTTCTTCTTTCCCCCTCTTCTTGTTTTCTTCTTTCCCCCTCCTCTTGTTCTCTTCTGCTTTCCTCTTCCTGTTCTTCTTCTTTCTCCTTCTTCTTTTCTATTCCTTCCCTCCTTTTCTTCTCTCTTCCTTTCCTCTTCTTCTTTCCCCCCCCCTCTTGTTTTGTTTCTTCTGCTTTTCCCTTCTTTTCCTCTTCTGCTTTTCTCTTCCTGTTCTCTTCTTTCCCCCTTCTTCTTGTTCTATTCCTTCCTCCTTTTACTGTTCTCTTCTTTTCCTCTTCTTCTTTTTCCCCCTCTTCTTTTTTCTTCTTTCCCCTCCTCTTGTTCTCTTCTGCTTTCCTCTTCCTGTTTCTCTTCTTTTCCTTTCTTCTTATTCTTTTCCCTTCTTCTTGTTCTATTCTTTCCTTTCCTTTTACTTTCCCCCTTCTTCTTCTTTCCCCCTTCTTCCTGTTTTCTTCTTTTCCCCTTCTTCTTGTTCTCTTCTTCTTTTTCCCTCTTTTACTGTTCTCTTCTGCTTTCCTCTTCCTGTTCTCTTCTTTCCTTCTTTCTTCTTCTATTCCTTCCTCCTTTTACTGTTCTCTTCTTCTTTCTTCTTCTTTCCCCTCTTCTTGTTTCCCCCTCCTCCTTTTCTCTTCTGCTTTCCCTCCTGTTCTCTTCTTTCCTCTTTCCTGTTCTTTCTTCCCCCTTCTTCTTTTACTTTTCCTTCCCCCTTTTCTTGTTCTCTTCTTCTTTCCCTCCTCTTGTTCTTCTTTCCCCCTCCTCTTGTTCTCTTCTGCTTTCCTCTTCCTGTTCTCTTCTGCTTTCCTCTTCCTGTTCTCTTTTTCCCTTCTTCTTGTTCTATTCCTTCCTCCTTTTACTGTTCTCTTCTTCTTTCCTCTTCTTCTTTCCCCTCTTCTTTTTTCTTCTTCCCCCCTCCTTTGTTCTTCTCTTCTTTCCTCTTCCTGTTCTCTTCCTTCCTCCTTTTTACTGTTCTTCTCCCTCCTCCTTTTACTTTCTCTTTCTTTCCTCTTCTTCTTTCCCCCTCTTCTTGTTTTCTTCTTTCCCCCTCCTCTTGTTCTCTTCTGCTTTCCTCTTCCTGTTCTCTTCTTTCCCCTTCTTCTTGTTCTATTCCTTCCTCCTTTTACTGTTCTCTTCTACTTTCCTCTTCTTCTTTCCCCCTCTTCTTGTTTTCTTCTTTCCCCCTCCTCTTGTTCTCTTCTGCTTTCCTCTTCCTGTTCTCTTCTGCTTTCCTCTTCCTGTTCTCTTCTTTCCCCTTCTTCTTTTTCTGTTCTCTTCTTCCTTTTCCTCTTCTTTCTTTCTTCCCCTCTTCTTGTTTCTTCTTTCCCTTCTTCTTGTTCTCTTCTTCTTTCCTCTCCTGTTCTCTTCTTTTTCCCCTCTTCTTGTTCTTTTCCCCCCTCCTTTTTGTTTCTCTTCTACTTTCCTCTTCTTCTTTCCCCCTCTTCTTTACTCTTCTTGTTCCCCCTCTCTTTCTCTTCTTTTTCCCCTTTCTTTCTCTTCTGCTTTCCTCTTCCTGTTCTCTTCTTTCCCCTTCTTCTTGTTCTATTCCTTCCTCCTTTTACTGTTCTTTCTACTTTCCTCTTCTTCTTTCCCCTCTTCTTGTTTTCTTCTTTCCCCCTCCTCTTGTTCTCTTCTTCTTCCTCTTCCTGTTCTCTTCTTTCCCCTTCTTCTTGTTCTATTCCTTCCTCCTTTTCTTCTGTTCTCTTCTTCTTTTCCTCTTCTTCTTTTCCCCCTTCTTCTTGTTCTTTTTTCCTTTTCTTGTTCCCCCCTCCTCTTGTTTCTTCTGCTTTCCTCTTCCTTTTCTCTTCTTTTCCCCTTCTTCTTCTTCTTTTTCTTCTTGTTCTCTTTTCCTGTTCTCTTCTTCTTTCCTTTCTTTCTTCTTTCCCCCCTCTTATTCTCTTTTTCCTCTTCTGTTCTCTTCTTGTTTTCTTTTTCTCTTCCTTCTTTCTCTTCTTTTTCTTCTTCCTTTCTTTCCTCCTTTTTCTCTTCTTTTCTTTTCTTCTTCTTCTTCCTCCTTTTTCTGTTCTCTTCTACTTTTTCTTCTCCTCTTGTTCTCTTTTTCTTTTCCTCTTCCCTTTTCTTCTTCCTTTCCTTTTTTACTGTTCTCTTCTTCTTTCCTCTTCTTCTTTCCCCCTCTTCTTGTTTTCTTCTTTCCCCCTCCTCTTGTTCTCTTCTGCTTTCCTCTTCCTGTTCTCTTCTTTCCCCTTCTTCTTGTTCTATTCCTTCCTCCTTTTACTGTTCTCTTCTTCTTTCCTCTTCTTCTTTCCCCCTCCTCTTGTTCTCTTCTGCTTTCCTCTTCCTGTTCTCTTCTGCTTTCCTCTTCCTGTTCTCTTCTTTCCCCTTCTTCTTGTTCTATTCCTTCCTCCTTTTACTGTTCTCTTCTACTTTCCTCTTCTTCTTTCCCCCTCTTCTTGTTTTCTTCTTTCCCCCTCCTCTTGTTCTCTTCTGCTTTCCTCTTCCTGTTCTCTTCTTTCCCCTTCTTCTTGTTCTATTCCTTCCTCCTTTTACTGTTCTCTTCTACTTTCCTCTTCTTCTTTCCCCCTCTTCTTGTTTTCTTCTTTCCCCCTCCTCTTGTTCTCTTCTGCTTTCCTCTTCCTGTTCTCTTCTTTCCCCTTCTTCTTGTTCTATTCCTTCCTCCTTTTACTGTTCTCTTCTACTTTCCTCTTCTTCTTTCCCCCTCTTCTTGTTCTCTTCTTCTTTTCTCTTCTTGTTCTCTTCTTCTTTCCCCTTCTTCTTTCCCTCTCTTCTTGATCATGCCAGATAACATACTGTCTCCCAGAAACTGTAACTAAGGTCTTCTCAGCATAGTTGCAATATCAACCACAGGAGGGCTCTTCGTGTGTTGAGCAAACACAAAATGTGCATGAGCGAGCATCTGCAATAGGGATTGGCTAGCCGCCCTAGTAGTCAGGTATCCTCAAGTACAAGTGGGCAAGTATTACTTATCCTTATAATCTACTATTCACATCTCTATAAAACAGCCCATTCTACCTTGAGTGGCTCTCACAGATTTTATTTTGTGAGCAATAGTATAAAGACATTTTGAGGGTCTGCTTTAATTATTATTTTTATAGTTTTTTTTATATATCTATTTTATTTTGGCAGGATAAAAAAATTGTGTCCCTTACAAGCGAAGTGAATCGCCTGAAATCTCTGGAAGAGGAATTGCTACAAGAGCAAGAATTACGCCACCAAATTGAGGAAAAGGTGAGACTATATCAGTTGAAGGGAACCAAATGTTAATGTTTATTTGGGGGCCTGTTTTAGATTAGCTTTCTCTCCCTTAGTAAAATTTGTTAGAATATTTTAACCATTTCAAAATAAATCAGTTTATCACATACATGAATTAACAGAATAATAATAATAATAATAATAATAATAATAATACCTTTGATTTCTGGTGTGAACTCATTTGTTTCCCGGTCACGTCCAGAAACCTAAGGTCAGAAATGGAATCATGACATTTTCCACTGAGCAATTTAATAAAAAAAAAAAAAAAAAAAAACACACATATTTTATATAGATGAAGCCCTTTGTAAGGTGTGTGCTGTACTCATGATAACAATTCTTTTGTATTGCTTTAAGGCATGGGCTACCAGGAATCCCTTCAATGAGTCTACTAGAATCTTTTCCAATCAACCTTAGGATTCCAACTACAACAGGGATTTTTGATGTTCCCATGTGCCACATTTTTGAGATTTCAATGTCCTTGCATTTTGATAGCTTTTTGAAGATCTTCAAAGATACATTGCAGTCTGCAGGGACTGCCATATCAATATGGGAGGCACATTTTGCAGGTCTCTAATCACAATATCAAGGTTGTTGGCTTTGATTGTTCTGTCTGTGTGTCTTGTAAAGTCCCATAAAATTGTTATAGGTCCTATCTCCGTAATCAAGTCTGGGTGGTGTTCATACTAATTACTTTCAGTTTCCTTCCCGTAAAAGTTGCAGGTTTTCCAGTGCAGATATTGGCCCACTCTATCATGTCGGTGCCAATATCAGTGGGTGCCAATACCGCGCAACCTTATACAAGATGATCAATTATTTCTGGATATTTATCACAGAATCTGCATTTCAGGTTAACACTATTTTTTAGTATGTGTGCTTGTTAATTTCTAGTTAACAAGCATTGGTTCTGTGCAGCAAAGACCTTTGTTTTGAGCTTTTAACCCTGAACTACGTAGCCACTGATGGGTACAGGGTTTGTCTACCTCAACTTGTTTGGTATGGGCAGAGTATTGACCATGGAGCGGTTTATCTTGCCATCATTTCTATATCTGGTCAGCTGCATTTGCTTTTGCTGCTGCTGCAGCTGCTATAATAATAATAATAATAATAATAATAATAATAATAATAATAATAAATTTATATAAATAGACAAAACAAAAGAATTGCAATACAAAAACCGTTAAGTAGGTGTAATTTAAAGTTGATTGTTAAAGAAAAAGTTTCCAGTAAAATGCATGTTCTTTTCAGTTGTTTGAATTTTAGAGAAAAAGTCCGGGTGTACATGCATGAGAAAGAGAGAGAACAGAAATACAGACAGAGGAGTACATTGAATTTAGAGAGGACACAGACACAGACATGAGGAGAATGTTGTACTTTAGAGAGGACACAGAGGAGTACATTGAACTTTAAAGAGAACACAGACACAGACAGGGGAGTATGTTGAACTTTAGAGAGGACACACACACAGACAGAGGAGTACGTTGAACTTTAGAGAGGACACAGACACTGACAGAGGAGTACATTGAACTTTACAGAGGACACACACACAGACATGAGGAGTATGTTGAACTTTAGAGAGGACACAGACAGAGGAGTACGTTGAACTTTAGAGAGGACAAACACAGACAGAGGAGTACGTTGAACTTTAGAGAGGACAAACACAGACAGAGGAGTACGTTGAACTTTAGAGAGGACACAGACACAGACTTTAGAGAGGGCACTGAACTTTAGAGAGAAGGACAAACACAACAGAGAGGACCCAGACACAGACAGAAGAGACACATTGAACTTTAGAGAGGGCACTGACACTGACAGAGGAGTATGTTGAACTTTAGAGGAGACCCAGACACAGACTTTAGAAAGGACACAGACAGAGGAGTACATTGAACTTTTGTGAGGTCACAGACACTGACAAAGGAGTATGTTGAACTTGGGCATAAGCCTGTAGCCAAAACTGAGCAGACAATTGAAGGCTGTTCTTTTAAAGTCACTGGTAATCGAATCTTTCTGAAAGCTAATGTATCTAGTGGTTTTCATTGGGGAATTCATTATATTTTCTTTCAGATGTGTGGTTGGAGAACTGAAGTAAAAATTTAATAGCCATGGGCAAATCGGATACAAAGGGATCAGCACAGTTAAGCTGACAGTGACTGGTGTATCAGGAGATATTTTAGAAAGCAAGAGCCGTTGTGGATATGGGATGCATGACCATACTAATAACACCAAAGTTAGCAACCACTTGGAGGGGAAGGAAACTGGTGGCATCATAGCCGAAGATGCAGTATAGTTGAGGAAGAGAAAAGCGACTGGTCTGGTGTGATGCCAATGTTACTGCTATAGGTGTTTGTGCGGAAATTGTTTTAGATCCTATGATCATTGGAAAGCTGAGTGTGGTTTTTCTGTGGAGGGCAAATTGTAAGAACATGAGAAATAGAGAAGAGAACAAAAAGAAGAAGAGAACAAGAAGAAAAAAGAAGAGGAAAGAATAAATAAAGAAGAAAAGACAAAAAGAAGAGGAGGAAAGAAGAAAGGAACAGGAATAAGAGGAAAGAAGAAGAGAACAAGAAGAAGAGGAAAGAAGTAGAGAAGAAGAGGAAAGAAGAAGAGACAAGATGAGGAAAGAACAAGAGAACAAGAAGAAGGCAACAAGAAGAGGAGGAAAGAATAAGAGAACAATAAGAAGAGGAAAGAAGAAGAGAAGATGAAAAGACAAGAAGAAGAAGAAAGAAGAAGAAGAGAACAAGAAGAAGATGAAAGAAAAATGAAAGAAAAGAGAGCAAGAAGAGGTAAGAAGAGGAGAAAAGAAGGAGAGAAGGCAAGAAAAAAGGAGGAAAGAAGAAGAGGAGGAGGAAAGAAGAAGATAACCAGAAGAAGAGAACAAGAAGAAGAGGAAAGAGAAGAAAAAGAAGAGGAAAGAAGAAGAGAAGAAGAAGAAGAAGAAGAGGAAAGAAGAAGTGAAGAAGAAGAAGAGGAAAGAGAAGAAGAAGAAGAAGAGGAAAGAGAAGAAGAAGAAGAGGAAAGAGAACAAGAAGAAGAGGAAAGAAGAAGAGAACAAGAAGAGGAGGAAAGAAGAAGGCAACAAGAAGAGGAGGAAAGAATAAGTGAACAATAAGAAGAGGAAAGAAGAAGAGAAGACGAAAAGACAAGAAGAAGAAGAAAGAAGAAGAGAACAAGAAGAAGATGAAAGAAAAAGAGAGCAAGAAGAGGTAAGAAGAGGAGAAAAGAAGAAGGAGAGAAGAAGAAAAGGCAAGAAAAAAAGGAGGAAAGAAGAAGAGGAGGAGGAGAGAAGAAGAGAACCAGGAGAAGAGGAAAGAAGAAGAAGAGAACGAGAATAAGAGGAAAGAAGAAGAGAAAAAGAAGGAAAGAAGAAGAAAAAGAAATAGGAGGAAGGAAGAAGAAAAGGAAAGAAGAAGAGGAAAGAAGAAGAATTTATTATTGCCAAAGCAAACATCAAAGAACCGACAAAAAAAGACAATGAATTTATTCTCTTGCAAGTGTACTCAAACTACAAAAGGTTCCAGGCTTAGGACTTTTCCAACATCAAAATAAAATGATTCAATTGATCCATTATTTTTCCTCAGTTTCTTTGCTATGTTCGTGCAAACAGCTTCAGTGAAATTGATTTTGATATTTAAAACGTCAAGGCCATGAACGTCGGTACATGTGTATATAGCCCAAACAGTTTCCAAGTGTTGCAAGACAAGATTAATAATCATTTTTACAACTCCTGATATTATTGGTCCCACAAACAATGCTTTACAGACGCATGTGAGTCCATTGATTCATATGAAACTCATTCTCACCAGAATCTATATTATTTAAAAGTCGACAATTCATCCATGCATTGAATATTGCTGTCAAACCTAGTCTAGTGTTTCTGCCATGTATTTAAAGATTCTTCATAAAATACAAAGAAAAATCTGCAATGTTATTCATCCTAACCTGGCATCTCGGCTTCAGTTGCATTCTCACCACCATAATGTCACTTCCCTGTACTTTTTCTGATGAGCTTTCCTCTTTGGTACCTTGACTTTACAAATTTAAGTGCAGTACTAGATTGGCATCTAGGTCTCATCATTTTACAGTTGAAATGGCTAGATGCAACCATAAGTCTCTACTAACATGTTCTCCTCCATTGTAGAAATCTCTTCTGGCCCCTTGCTTTTCATTCAACTTAGATCATCAAAAAATTTAAATGCAATATCAATCATTATCTTCCTTGTCTTTCATTGTTCTCTTACCTTAATAATATCAGGGAAGCAAGTAAGAGGAAGGGAGTTCCTCTGGCGGGAAGTGTGAGAGAAGAAGGTGTTGGAGTAGAAGAGGCAGTTATATTTCACTGTATCGACAGTGAAAGGTTGGACCCAATATGTCAACCTAGTAGCACACTTAAATTTATGCAGTTGGGGTACCAGTGAAAGTAGCTCTCCATAAAGATATCTGTAAAAAAGACATAGGGAAGCCACATCACGTCTGTGAGAAAGTGTAGATGAGATACCAAGTCAGGACCCATCACATTGCATATCCGTCTTTGGATTTTGTTGAGTGTTCTGATGAGCTTTCCTCTTCGGTACCTTGACTTGACTTTACAAATTTAAGCGACAGTAGTAGATTGGTATCTAGGTCTCATCATTTTACAGTTGAAATGGCTAGACGTCACCATAATTCTGTGCTAACATTTTCTCCTCTCATACTTCTCCATTGTGGAACTTTAACAGTTATGTGCTATGCGTGATACACGCTTAGGCAATCATGTATCTTTCAATACATGACTGACGAGGCAGATTTTTTTTCCCGCAGTAGGTTGCTATTTCTTTCTGCGGTAGATCAGTTGCTATCCAAGGCTTTAGAACCCGGTCTGTCTTGCTATTTACCCATAGTTGGGGGGAGAAGAAGAGGATTCATACCTTTCCCAAGGGTATTAGCATGTAAGTGAATGTAATGGATTCGACTGGAATTTGAACACAACTCTCTGATTTCCCAATCTGAGCTGATATCCATTACTCCACTGTCCCTCCTTTCTGGGCATAATGCGTGTAAAAATTGTCCAAATGATTTGTGGATCCAGGCACTTTCAGCTAATCTTTTAGCCATTAACAAAGATGTTTTTGTTTAACTGTAAAAAAAACCTTACATATAGTGGTTAATAGATTAAGCAAAAGTTCTTGGATTCACAGTTCATTTGGATAGTTTATTACACACTACGTCCAGAAAAGAAATCAGTCTTACAAATACAAGAAAAATCTATATATAAAATTTTGTGTCTTCTGTTAGTCCATCCATGCATCACATCTTCCAAAATAACCATACATTGAACACACAAAACCAAATTTTTGGGAGAACTGCAAATATGTAAGGGGGTGCAAAGTACAATTGGTTTTACTAGAGTGCGGTAACGTAGTACAATAAATTTTCTTTAACTTTTTGAAAAATTAAAAGTTTTATTATGTAACATACAAACCAATTTAATGATTAAAATAACAAATACATATTTAATAAAAATGCAATATTGTTTTTTCATATCTTTTCTTTAAGTTTTTATATATACAAGAATCCAGTTTCCTGTTTGCCCTGCATTTGTGAGAACTATAAAGAAATCACAAGGCCAAATGCTTATAAAAGTTGGTATTTGGCTTCAGAAAGAAATATTTACACATGGCCAGTTTTATGCTGCATATACAAGAGTAAGAAATCCTAAGAATTTATTCCTCCCTGTTAAAAAGGAAAAAGAAAAAAAAGAAATTTAAATTTGAAATTTAAATTGTTTACCATGAAGTCCTATAAAATTAAAATAAATTAAAGAAATTATTAAACCATGAAGTATGGTTTTTGTGAAAGTATTTTTCCAAACAAATCAGCTTATTCAAATTTCATTGAGTGGTTTCCAAAATTGAACGAAAAGTATACTTTGTAAATCTCAACAAAAAATGCTAGTGACAACTTCAACAATACTAAATACTGTGAAGATTTTAACATGTGTCAGCAGGTTACAAAAAGGTTCTAGTATAATAAAAAGCTTAATTACAGTGCCTTATCAGTCATCTTCAATGAAATTTATATATATATATATCATATATATATATCAGTCACTAAATCTACTTGCAAAATCTACCACAATTCTAACTGTAGAAGTCATAACATAATTTACCTATTAGAATGCACACTGCCTGTGTTATGTAGTGGTTTCACAGTGGAGGCTTGTATTTGTACTAAGTCGGTCCTAAAATAGGTTCGACGTACAAAACGTTAGGAACTTGATATAATAGGTAATGATGCAGAGTAATCTAGTTGCGGTCGCTGATACTTTAGTATCTGATTAACGGTCGTCCAGCATCGACTGACTGACCCCCCCCCACTAAGCGACCCCCTCATTACTCTTACTACTCCTACTTATTATAGGTCGGAGAGTCTATTAACTATAGAATAGGTGTGTTCCACTATAACAGCCAGAAACAATATGTGGGAAAATCTAAATGGCCCTTTTACTACAGAATTAATAATTATTGTAGTCAGATCAAGTTGGCACCTCATAAAAGATTATTACCTGTAGAACAACATTTCCAACTAAAAAAGCCATGCCAAATTCACTATGATTGAAAAAATTGAAATAGACAGAAAAGATAACAGTAGAAAAATTCTAGAGGAACATGAAGACAAATGGATTTTGTGCCTCAAAACACAGGCTTAACCACAAATTTAACAACATAGATAGAATTAATATATAACCCCATAAATCAAGCCCTACCCACATTTCTCACTCACACAAGACAGACATGCTTGTGGAGGTGTTGAGGTCGCACACACACATCCCCTTCGCAGAAACCAATAAAACTGTCAAAATGACCAAGAAGGGAATTCTGAATCTCCCATCCTTTATCTTAAAAACAACTTAAAAGAGGTTATTTGATCAACACAAGGACTGAACAAAATTAACAATAACAGATAAAATACATTTTCTTCAGAAAGTCATTCACTCCTGTCATTCACTGCTACTAACAAGTAGGAATTTTTTTCTCCTGATGATGGCTATGCTGGCCAAAACTAGTCGAGGAACCTAATTGAAACAATAAAACAAAAATATATTAATATACAAACCAGTGTGTCTGAAAATTTTAATTTTTTAATATTTTTTATTGTTCAAAACAAATATATATATATATATATATATATATATATATATATATATACACATACAGAAAGAGAGATGCAGTTTCGCCCATATTTTGCATGCTTTCCTGAGTTTGTTCCACCTTTCTATCCACAGTTAAAACAAGTGAAATCTGAGTCTGTACCTGGAATTCCAAATGAACAGTTGAAAGAAGAAATCAAAGATAAAACTAATCAATTGATCAGCCTTCAAACAGAATTAGACAAGGTTAAAAAAGACAAGAACATCACAGTCGGACTTGTGACTCAAATGCAAAAGGATTTATCGTGTAAGGTAAGAACTTCTCTCATATTTGTTTATCTTACCATCAGATGATTTTAATGTTGGCTCTACAAGTATTTTTTTCAAAATACAAGACAAAATTCCTTATTTTCTTTCTTATTTAACTTTTAAAGCTATAAAATGTTTAAAGGCCCTGCATAATAAATCTGACCACCGCACCTTACTGCTTACTTAATTTATGCTTTAATGATAAGCCTCATGTAATCATGGCTTCACACTTTTTCAACATTAATCCAAGAGTTAAATTCTCTTCTTTAATTTCTCTTATTTTCATGTTTTTATTTGCTTGTTTTTCAGGACACAACGATCAGCAAACTGACACGGGAAGTAGAAACCCTAAAAAGAAACATTTGGGAGCATGAGACCAGTATGGAAACAATGACTTCCAAAGTAAAAGGAACAAACTTTTCCAGAATATTTACATATATATATATATATATATATATATTTAGAGAAAAAAACAGACCACTTTAAAGTTCCATTGTAATAATTTATTTCACCAGAGCCTTTTTAAAGGATGCTGGATCATCAGACATTACTTCCAAATAGTGAAACAAAAAATGAAATGAAAATTCACATTAAGTAAAAAATGAAATGAAAATTCACATAAGTGTGAATTTTCATTCATTTTTCGTTTCACCATTTGGAAAATGTCTGATGATCCAACATCTTTTAAAAAGGGCTCTGCTAAATAAATTATTACAATATATATATAAGGTCTATTTTTTTTTAAATTATTAGCTCTGGATTTACATTGAGCTCTCAAATTTCATCCTCCTTGGGACTACCCATACAGATCACCAAGTTTTTCGTTATTTAACTATATATATATATATATATATATATATATATATATATATATTGTTAAATATAACAAACAATGAAGGTCTATATGTTTGATCATGAGGCATTCTAAGCTTCATATTGTGGCTTTAGTTTCAGGAGAAAATAAAGTAAAAAATTGTCCAACATTTGGATATTTTTTATTATGCTGTTCCTTAATCTAAGTTTTCAGATCACATGAGCCATCATCAGAGTCATTATATGGACATTACACCATCAAAGATGACATCCTGTTATGTTTACACAGAATTTTGCTATGTGAAGATAACGGTTGCAGAACAGCAGACACAGGTCATAAATTCATAATGCGGTTCTGTGATGTTGTCATGACCATGTGAGAGAAAGAAATGTTATCAACAGAACAATATGTCTAGATGCAATGTAATGTGTTGTGACTAGTTTGAAATGTAATTTTGTTGAGTGTGGGTTGCTTCATTTTAATGTAGATGGCCTCCAATACCTGAAGGTTCTTTTTGCTGTGTGTATTTGCGAGTATTGTTGCGTTATCAACTAATATCTGTCTAATATTATGTACATGGTTATGCTTTTCTAGGAAATGTTTAATGGACCTAAGATCAAAAAGGTGACAGGTAAGTCTAAGAGAGAGCGTGGTTGTAGTAAAGCCAATATATGTAGTGGGTTTATTATTAATATCAGAGATAAAATCTCTGAACGGACATGTAAATTGATACAGTACATTGGGTTTTTTGTTGGGGATTTAGTTGTGTGGTTGTGGTTCAAACCAGTCACAACATATTACAATGTATTTAAACACATGGTTCTGTTGATAATGTTTCTTTCTCTCGCATGGTCATGTACGATGTCATAGAACCGCATTACGAATTTACAACCTGTGTCTGTTATTCTGCAACTGTTATTGTCACATAGCAAACTTCTATGTAAACATAACATGATGTCATCTTTGATGGTGAACATCTCTGTTGTAATGTCCATACAACCATTCTGATGATGACTCATGGAAGCCGAAAGCTCAGATTGAGGAACTGCATAATAAAAAATATTCAAATGTTGGACAATTTTTGTCTTTATTCTCTCCCAAAACTAAAGCCACTATACAAAGCTTAGAATGGCTCATGATCAAACATAATAGACATTCGTTATCTGTTATATTTAATAGTTATCTCATGCTGGTACACGATTTGTACAATTTTCTGTTATACTCAGTATATATATATATATGTGTGTGTGTGTGTGTGTGTGTGTATATATATAATTGGATAATAAGTGTGATATTACTGTAATTATTGAACAATATAGTTCATGCCACTTTGACAGAAAATTTAACAGTAAAAAAGAATTCACTTATCACCATATTTGTACAAGAACGCACAATTGTAAAATTTAAATTCAAACTCAGCGTTGCGACTGCACGCTCCAAAAACAATAACTCATTTCTAATAGCATTTTTCAGATTACAATACATATATTTTCGTTGTCCTCTTATTACTGAGAGTAAAAACAAGAACAAAATCTATTCCATACCTGAGGATGTCTGTAGGAACAGACGAAAGCTTGTAAAAATAATAAGAACTTATGCAACAGAAATTTATAAAAACAAGGATCTTTTCATTCATAAACAGGTTCGGGGTTTTTGTATATTATTTGAATTGTTCGCGACGATGGATTTCTTGCCAATTAAATCATTAACCTTTGTATTTGTTTTTTGTATGAATAATTCATGAATATATATATATAAATATATATATATATATATATATATATATATAGTAAAGGTAACAAATCAATTGCTATGTAATCCAAATGGATCCTAGTAATACAAAATACTAAAACTGATCCACAAAAAGAACTTAATGTATTTATTATTACAGAGCAAATAATTGATAAACAATAAAATCCAAAATCACCTCCTATGAGGAATAGCCTATTTTGGCAGATGAAAATATAGGTCGTCTCTCTTATCAACCCTGGTATGGACTGAGTTTGTGTCAGAAATAGAAATTTAACTGTGAAAGAACACATATACATAACCTACTGCATTGAATTTGGTATTTTTTAAAAGAGAACCTAATTGTTTTATATACAATTAAAAAAAATTTATTTATATAAAACTCCCTTTTCGGCCTCTCCTTTAGTTTCAGTTCAACACCTCATTCTTCATAGAACCCCAATTTAGGGTCATAAGGTCAATATCCAGGTTGAATTTGTGGAGCCTCTTCCCTTTAAGACAGATACTGTCTGCTCTCCCCTTACCACCGACTCTGTCATTTCATCTGAATGAGGCGTTGATATGGGTAGGTTCTGTATGAATTTTTTGAGTGCTGTCAAAGTTAAATTTAAAATTTCTAATTCTGACACAAACACAATCCATCTACCGGGATTGAATAAAATCAATGTACTTCGTGCTGGCTAAAATAGATCTATACCCATATGAGGTAATTTGGGATTTTGTTGTGTAATATATATATATATATATATATATTGATCAAGTAAGGAAAGGATTTATTATCGAACTGTTTTTTAAAATTGTTCCATTGTTTTTTAAATCATTTTTGATTTGCTTTGTAACGTGGAGGACTTCAAGCTTGTATGAAGATATAAGAACCTATTGATCTCTGCGTATTCCTATATCAACGGAAGGGATTTCTTGAACTGTTTATATAAAATAGTTCAATCGACTTTTTTAATATTTTAATATTTGGAAATCATCTTCGAATACGTTTTCACAACATCGGCCATGTGACGACGACGTGATCATATTTAAACGGAACGCTGATCTTATATAAAAATTTCAGTTACCTATTTGGATTAGTTGTGCTCTTATGTCCATCGTCTTTTGTGTTAAATTTTTATATGTTCTAATGTTAATTATGTTTAAATGAAAATGTCCATGAAGATGGTCTTAAATAGACCTAAACGTCCGCCGTCGACTTTATATTAACATTAATACAGCATAATTGCATATTAAGATTTTTGTTTGTTTTTTCTGTATTTTTCTTCATATATATATATATATAGGGAAAAGGTTATAGTTGTTCCAACGAGAGAAAAATGTATATTTAAGAAAAAAAAGAGAAACTGCAAACGTTGTTGGTTATAATGGGATTTGTTTTAGTATATATATCTTATTCTTAATATTTTTGCTACACACGTTTCAGGTTTTGTGACCTTCTTCAGGCAAATAAAAAGGAATAAATTTTTAAAAGGAATGAATTTTCCTTATGTTCTTTTAATGCCTCATCATTCATTTTCTGTATTTGTTAGTGAGCCTTGAACTCCTTTCTAGACTGTTGGCAAAAATGAATTTCTGCCTAAGTGTTAATAAAACCATTAGGTTTGGTATGCGAGCTGGTGATGATTGATGTGTTGATGAGAGATGTCTTCCTGTCCCTGTTAGCTTGCATATGTAGGTTCCTCCCCATATATACATACTGTCTTATAATAAGGAATCAACATACACATATATGCATATGTATATACACATGCACACATACCCACACACATATACACACATTCTTCCTGTGTTTCTGTGTGTGCCTGTGAGTAATCTATCTGTTTTTGCCAGTGTATGTATATATATTTTTGTTATCCATGGATATCTGTCTACACATGTATGTATGTGTGTGGTTCGACCAGTGTATGTGGCCATCATGTGTGTACGCTGTATGTCCATGTGTGTGCGATCTGTTCAGTGCTGGTTTATATATGGGAGAATTATATTTATTATTTAAATGTACCTCTTCATGCCCCTCAATGGATGTGTCAGGTGACTTTCTATTTATAGAATTTACATTATAATTTCACACACACACACACACACACACACATCTACGGACTCAAATGATGTATTGTGCTTTAAAAATTCTTCTTTTCACCTATAGATATCCAAAATGAAGGATGGTTTGAAAAAGTTTGAGGTAAACGAGGCTCGAGAGAAAGAGTTGCACAATATCCATCAAAAATTAAAAGTGGCTGAAGCAAAGCAAAAACAACAGGAAGACTTTATAGCCTCACAGGCTGAAGAAATCAACAAGTTAAAACAGACACTGAGTGAGGAGCGGGAAGAGAAGAAAAAAATGCAGGCTGACTTGGGACAAGTGCGTTTTGAACTTGATGACATCACCCGAGCTGAACGAATGGTGCGGGTTGACATGGAACAGGCAACAAAACAGGTAATAGTAATTCTCTTGTAGTGATTCCTGATAAATTTTCAAAACCCATCAAGATTCATTCTTAGATTTGTTTTATGAAAATAGGTTTAAGATTTTCTTATTATAGGGTTGGAACAAAAGTTCATAGTGTTTTTGAAAAGGCGGTGTTTGAACACATGATTTCATTTCGCATGTGTGGATTATGAAAGTTAAATGTTTTTTTACACTAAAGGTGCCAATTGGAAACATTTTTGCCATTTGATGTTCTTTTATTTCCAAAAAGAAGAAAATACTGTCCAAAGAGCAAAAATATATATGTGCCATTTAAAGAAATGGTTCTGTAGCTGAGAGTATTGTTCATATGTGGTTCATTAGGTTCCATGGCTGAACATTTGGCCAAGAGACATTTGGCTGACGGACATTTCTCCAAGAATGTACAAGTAAAAATAGTAACAAGCAATACTTTAAATATTTTAATTAGCAGTATTATAAGGTAGAATAGGGCTAATAATTACCCTGAATTTCAAGTAATTAAATTACTAAATCTAAATTTAAAATTAAAAGTTTTCTTATTTCATTATTTGTTTATTAAAAATATTTGAGTGTATTTGGGTAAAAAGTAGCACCTAATTATTTAAATTCATATTTAACATTAAGATAAAAGCTAGTTCATCCCTTTAAGATAATGATCATTAAAAGTGAAATTGAAATATCGTAAAAGCTTTTCTCAAAATACTTATCATCTTACAGTAATATTTAAAGTAAAATATAATATATACTGATATAGATTTTAAAAAAAAGCCTGTAAAAAAATAACCCCGAAAAATTATAAATTAATACAGTAAATAAATATAAATATATGTAGCACATTACGATAAAGAGTGTGACATACATGTAAGTATGCCACTACATTTTCAGCTGATTGTCCTTTCAGTTAAATGTCCGTCAGTCAAATGTCCGTCAACCAAATGTCCATCAGCCAAATGTCCATCAGCCAAATGTCCGTCAGCCAAATGTCCATCAGCCAAATGTCCGAGTACCATTAGGTTCAAATGTGGAAATTTTGTTCTGGAAGACCACAAGCATTTTGGCCAGCCTGTATTTGTTGTTGATGACCAAATCGAATGGCTGATTAAAAACTAATCCTGATCTCACGACACAGGATATCATATGAGCATTGTAAGGCATTTAAAAAGAGTTGGATATATGAATTGCTACAATGTTTGGTTGCCTTTCAAGTAATTTGTTTGATTTTGTTTAGTGGCATATCAACACCTCTATGGGTTATTTAATGCCAAAATCTAAATAAATTGAACACAATTTTATGGCTTCAACTAAATATATTTTTAATGCAATTTTATACCCTCAACTACAGATAAAATATATGGCTGGTAGTTTACTATAAATATGTATTGCTGGTATTTTTACAATTAAAATTCATTTTTATACTTTCATAGTGTGTCTGTTTGGGGATTCATTATTTGCCCAAAGCTGATGCCCTAACAGGTGCTACCACCCTGGGTCAGGGTCAGAGCTGGGAACAACAGCAATTAAGAGAGGGTTCCATGTTCTTCAAGATCTCCAATCTCCCAACCAGAGGCCTTGCTGCCGAATGTAGTTTATCGTCATACCCAGGACGTTAGATTGTAAGAATTATTTGGAGATAATAATGATTTACTGATACAAGTCCTACTAATTAACCGAGGAAAGAAAAGAAAGAAAGAAGGAAAGAAAAGAAAGAAAGAAAGGAAAAAAAGAAAGAACGAAGATCAAAAAATGAACAAAGGACAAAGCAAGAAAGGACAAAGAAAGAAAGGACAAAAAGAAAGAAAGAAAGAAGGAAAAAGAAAGAAAGAAAGAAAGAAAGAAAGAAAGAAAGAAAGAAAGAAAGAAGGAAAGAAGGAAAAAGAAAGAATGCAGGCAAATGAGACAAAGATTGACTTCTCTTAACTGGTCATCAACCCTTTTCAGGTCATTTAAAGCTATTCAATATTTTTAGATTATAAGTTTGGCTTAGTTTGTTTAGTGGCATATCGACTCCTTATGGGTCATTTCATGCCAAAATTTGATTTTCTTGGCTGCTTTGGTAATTTTTTTTACTATTAAAAACTATTTCTAGAATTTTTCTTTAGCTAGTTTTTTTTTACTATTAAAATCTATTGCTGGATTGTTTTCCTATAAAAATGTATTTTTATACTTTCATAGTTTTTTGACCCTAGTTTTGGAGTTCACTATTTACCCATAGCTGGGACCCTAACAGGTGCTACCATTGTGGGTCAGAGTGGATCTGGGAACAGCAGCAATTAAGAGATGGTTCCACACACCTCATGATCTCCAATCTCCCAAACCGAGACCTTGCTGCTGAATCTAGTTTATTGTCATACCCAGAACTACCTCTGAGTTTAATGGAAATAAATTTAATGGGAATAAATTTAATGGATCACAATTCCATTTACAATTCTCTGTTCAAATACAAAACATAACCAATTTTTGAAAATAATAATCGTGAGCAATGACAAATGAGTTGTTTTCAACAATGTGAAGCATAAAAGGTTTTGGTAAAAAACAAATTCAGCTAGTGTTAGCCACTCTAAGAGCCAATTTATTTGATGTTTCCATTTTCATTAAAACTTTGTCATTGCACACATGTTCCGTCCATGGTATTCTCAACATCTCTCATAGAACAATATTGCTGTCACTTCAAGTCTCCTCTTCATCTGTGAAGAGATTGTCCAGTATTCACGGCCATATAGGAGACTAGCAATAGAGCCTGGCATTGCCCGGGGATGTAATAGTAAGAGATAGATCAAGTATCGACCATCATAAAGACTGAAAAATAAAATTGACAAAGATTATTGTTTAAGGTTGATGGACACGCATGTCTTAATTAGTTTTTTTTTGTTTCATCTTTTTTTTTTATGAATTGGTCAAATCCAAACTCAAACAAAAACATTGTTTTCAATCGTTATGAGCCTACCAATTGAATAGAATTTTATTAGTAACAATTGTCTTGTAAATGGAATTTTTAAAGCATTCTGAATGTAAAAATAAAGAAAAAAGTGTGCAAGATAATAAGAAACACTACCTGCCCCACAAAAAGTGAAGTTTTGTTGAAATCGGTTGAAAAATGTAGGAAATGCAATCCCATATATAAACAAACACACACACACACAAACAAACAACCTGGGTTTTATAATAAGTATAACTCGATATGAGTTGTCCCCCTTTCATTCTCGCGATGCCTCTTAATCATGTTTTTAAATTGATTTTGTGCAAAAACAATTGTGATTTTCCAATTTTTGGCGCTGTCAGAACCATCGCAAGGTAATTTTATGCAGTCCTGTGAAGTTTTGTTGAAATCGGTTGAAAAATGTAGGAAATTCGATCCCATATATAAACGAACAGACGCACACACACACACACACACACACACACACACAATATAATAAGTATGTTATGATTGGGGAATATCCTGTGAATTTTAGGTTCTTCAATCCTTCTTTCCTTATTATGCCTTCCTGAAATTTCAACTATCTCTTTCTGATTCTAAATACAAATGTCCTTTTTGTTACCATTTTCTTTAAAAGTTCCTTTTCTGATTCTAATTTGCTCACATGATCCATCTGTAATACTCTCAGCATCCTTCTATAGAAATCCACGTCTATTGCACACTCATTTGTTTTTTATTTCATCTATGCCATTTTCCTTATATCCTAAACAAATGTGATGTCTATTTTTTTTCTTGGCAGATGGAACGGTTCCATAATCGTGTTCTGCAGGTTGCCTTTTCCATTCCCGGAAAAGGTCTGCCCAAAAAGGAAATGAACGAAGATGATCTGATTGAGATTCTCAAGACAATGGCACAGGCACAAAGTACAGTGAATGAAACCATCAAAACTATGGAAATAAAAGTTAAAGAGGCTCAACAAGAAAAAGAGGAACTGATTAAGAAGTTGAATCAGCTCAACCCACAAATATTGCAATTACTGGTAAGAGGAATTGAAGGATTATCTCTGCCAAAACATTACTCTGTAAATCAAGTTAAAATACAGTAGCATCCCTCATATCTGGAATCCCTCATATCCAGAATCCTTAATATCTAGAGTATCTTATATCCAGAATCCCACATATCCAGACATGATTTTGATGTGTATATTCAAACTATTTGGGTGATATGTAAATGATTCGAAATTTCTGTTTTTCGGGAAATTTACTTTTGATAATTACTTATGCTTATTTCTCTCTAATGGCTTCTAGTGGCACAAGAGGTGATAGGAATAAGAGGAAAGGATGACAATGAGACACATCTGCAACAAGATAGTGATGAAATGCATGATTGTGATGAAATCTGGACTGAAATTGAAAAAACTATTGAAAAGGTTGTCAGTTTTATGGAAAGAAAGCCAACATTCTGCTATGATGATTGCCATAAAGCACACAGAGTTAGAAAGTGTCTTTCATTTAAAAAAATTAAAGAAGAAAAACGAAACAAAATGCGGAAAAAGTTGAGAATGGCATTAAAAGAGAAAGAATCATCATGCAACAGCAATTAAAAAATCCTTGTTATATTATTTGTTTTGCATACGTGGCAGACTTAATCTAATGAATTTTCATTAACATTACATAATTTATTTCTTTTTTCCTTAAAATCAATTCTGCTATATTTCACTCACCATCAGTCCTTTTCTTTACTATAAAATATTGAAAATAAATGTTAGACCTGATTTCACTTCTTTTATTTTAATCTAAATATAAACCCTCATATCTGGACATTGTAACCGGAATGCCTTGTTAGTCCGGTTGTTAGGGATTCTACTGTATACTGCTGTAACTGCTGTACGAAATATATTTGCATTTAACTCAATCCATACGAAAAGAAATTAGTTAACATTTTCACTACTGTCAGTGAGGCTTACAATATGCCAACTGCAGAAACTGCCCAGAAATAAGACCCCCACAAAAGGAGTCACTTTCTGGGTGGATATGTGGAGACTCTTGTATAAACCAGACATGTTTGATGCTTCTGCTATATATTTAGAAATCCTTGATAAAATCGAAAGAAGAATCTGCAATGTCATTGGTCTTGACCTGGCATCTCAGCTTCAGTCACTTCCCCACCGCCATAATGTAGCTTCCCTGTACTTTTTCTATAAATATTTTCATAGTAATTGTTCTGGTGAACTTTTTTCTATAGTACCTAGAATTTATGAATTTAAGTTCAGTACTAGATTGGTTGCTAGGTCTCATCATTTTGCAGCTGAAATTGCTAGATGTAAATGTAAGTTCTATGCTAACAGTTCGCACTTCTTGCGTGTGGGACTCTCTTCCATCTTTTTCTTTCCCAGTTAATTTTGAACTTCAAAAATTTAAATGCAGTGTCAATCATTATCTTTTGTCTTCTTAATTCTTGTTCTTTTACTGTCTTCTCTCTTTAATAGTGTTTTTTTTATATTTTGTAACACTCAATGACCCATTTTGTCTTAGTGGCTTTATGGCCTTATTTGGGGTGAAATGATTAAAAAAATGTCTAACTCAATGATTCTAGTGTAAACATTTTTGACTCTCATGTAAACAAGACCTACACCCTTGCATAAATTAATTGAAACAACCGCTTTAGTTTCCTTTCTTTCACCATACAGTCAGTTTTAGAGCTACTGAAGTGACAGATTGTAATCAATTTCTATTTTTTCCTCAGATTAGGTCATTTTCAATCGTGTGCAGTAATATGAATCTATTTTCGGAATGTATGATGAAATTTGTTTGGTTTTGAAAAATATTGCATCAGATTCTTATCACATCCTGGCACTATTGTCTTGACTGTCAATTAGTTGTCCTACAGCCATTGTCTGCAATGGAAATTACTCCAAGGAAGTGTAGAAAAATTGTAACACTGCATGAACACATTGGCAAGCTTTACCAGTGATCAAATCAAAGTACTATAGACTGGCCCAGAAACTCTTCTGATTTAAACCCAGTTGAGAATCCCTGGTCAATCTGCAAGGAACAATGTCATGGAATGGACATACAAAGTACTAATATGTGCATGGGTCATGTTTCATTGGAAAAGTATGAAAAAAAGTAAATAATAACAGAATTATTCATTTTGTTTCAATTAATTTGCACAAGGATGTACATTCTACATCTGTTTTTAATCTAGCTTAAGCTAAACCTGTGTCTACATTTTGAATTCTAAGTTAAATTGAACCTATGTTATTCTTTTTTAGTATACATCAAATGTGTACCTACCATGTTAACTTGAGTCAATTTTTTCTTCTTCCTATTCTATCATCCATGTCCCATCAAGATTATGCAAAAATGAAAATAACACTGACATCTCATTTTAACAGATATATTTACCAAAAATTACAGAAAATTATCTTAAAATACTAAAGAGTAAATTTATTCAATAAAATCGTCATTGCCTTCAGCCACAACCTCCAGACAACTTTGGAATCTTCTGCAACTCATCTAGATTGTCTCCTTGTTTAAGTTGGTGAATGCTGCCATAATCCTTGCCTTCAGTTCATCTTTGGTGTTAAAAGGAGTTTTGTTGGTCTCTCGCTCAACTGAGTCCCACATATAATAATCAAAGGGGTTGCAGTTTGGGGAGTTAGGTGGCCAGATGTAAGGGGTGATGTGGTCACAGAAATTATCTGACAGCCATGACAGTTCTCCTGCTTGTGTGGCATGGTGTAGAATCCTGTTGCTAGACAGGGTCTTTCAGCAGCCACCCTCTTGACCCAAGGTAGCACTACCTCCTTAAGGCACTTGATGGAGACCTCCATGTTGAGTCTGAGACTTTGTGGTAAGATGAGTGGAGGCATAATGTCACCATCATTAGTGATAACAATTAGACTCATCTAGCTCTTTTTGATTCCTCTGCACTGTCCTCAGATTGACACCTAAACACTCTGAAATGTTTATATTGGAGATTCCAGTATGAATGCCAAGCACTACAGCATACTGTTTCCAAATTTTTTATGCTTAAAAAATTATTTAAGACACTTTGATGTGGTGTAATGGCTTGCTTGTCTCACTAGATTAATTATGACTGAATAGTGCTCCCATACCTCCAGCCTTGTGCCATATCTAAGTTATGCTTAGAAAATCACCATTGGGACCTTGATGTCATGTAATGGTTAGCAAGCTTGTCTTGCTAAAATAATTATCATGAAGTAGTGAGTTTGACCCTCGCTGGGTGCCCGATACTCTTGTCCTTGTGCCACATCTAAGTTACACTTAGAAAAATTACTATATATATATGTATATATATATATATATATATATATACTTACTTTTTTTTTTCTGTAGACACGACTTGAATCCAGTGGCTTGCGAAGTGCCAACTTGAAGAAAGAGCTGGAATTGTTGGAGTCGGTCAGTGTGGAGACACCATTTACTTGGGTGAAGAACCATTTTATGAAACTTCTCAAAACAGAAATTAACTGGCAGTGCAAAATTGAAGCATCTTTGGAGAAATGTGGAGTAAACATGAAAATTTCAACGAGTGGTGAGTTTGTTTTTTGCTAAGAACGCTACACTGAGAGTTTTTCATTCACAACTGAATTCATTCTGCACAAAAAGCCAGAGTAGGGGAGGAAATCAGGTTAGAAATACTGTGTTGCACCAATCTCCCACGTTTGGCCTCTATAACAAGCAGTCACAATTCTGAATTTTACCTTTGTTCAAACACCAGCTATTAGCACCCAGGAGAAAGATATATAGTGGGCCTGTGCATGTACACGTTGTGACATGAACACATGTGATCTCCTGAAAGAAGCCCACTACAAACAAGCCCGAAAGAAATGTAAAAGGAAATGTGAAGAAAGATCAAGAACCAATATATATAAGTACAAATATTTTAAGCAAAAGTAATTTACCCCAAGCAAGTCAGAAGTGCCACTAGCATGCAAGGGGTTACAGAGGATTGAGAACAAGACTAAAGAGGCGTGTTTGAGCAAAGGTTACAGAGAAGGACAGGGGACAAGATCAAGGTATCAGTAGATTTTGATTGACATTACACTTAAATATTTGAAGATTATAGTTATCAGGCAAGCAAGCAAGAGGAAGGTAGTTCCACAGATGGGAAGTGTGAGAGAAGAAGCTATTTGAGTAGAAGAGATGGGGAACAAGACTAAGGTATCAGAAGATGTTGATTGACATTACACTTGAATATTTGAAGATTATAGTTATCAGGCAAGCAAGTAAGAGGAAGGGAGTTCAACAGATGGGAAGTGCAAGTAAAGAAGCTGTTTGAGTAGGAGAGGCAGTGATATTTAACCATTTCAACAGTGAAAGAGTGGGACTGAGATGCCAATTCATGCAGTCTGGGAACCAGCGAAAGTAGCTCATTGGAACAGTTGCCATGAAAATACTTGTAGAAGAGACAGAGGGAAGCCACGGCACATCTGTGAGTAAGCGACTGTAGACAAGATGTCACATCAGGACCTATCACATTGCATATTCGTTTCTGGATTTTAACAAACAAACAGGGTTTAAAAAGAGCAAAGACAATGTGTGTGTAACAAATTAATGTGGAGAGTTTGTGTTTCAAAGTATGCGTGAGTGAATGTTCGTACATACATGTGTATGTGTGTGCGTGTGTGTGAGTGTGCAATGTTCATGCATGCCCCACAAGAGGGAATGCTTTCTTCTACAAGAGCTTTACATTGTTGTAGTGTCCATTGAAAAGTGAAAAGAGAAAGAGGACAAGACACGATCTCATCAAGTATATATAGTAATTCAAGAGCTCCCCCAAGTGGTGGTTTCAAAATTTAGGAGGAGGTAACTTCGATAGGTATACTATATTTAACAACATATGAGTAATATGATTTTTTTAATTATTTCTCTCCAAGCAAGGCAATAAAGCCACTAAGATGCAAGGGATTACTGATTGTGAAAGGATATGAGAAAAAGAAAACATTATTAAGGAAAGGGAAGAATAAAAAACAGGAATTACGGAGGGAGAAGATAATGATTGACATTGCATTTAAATATTTCCAGATCAAATTTGACTGGAAAGCAAAATGCTGGAAGAAAATTCCGCAAGAGAGAAGTGCAAAAGAAACTGTTAGCATAAAACTTATGATTACATCTAGGAATTTCAAATGTAAAATGATGAGACCTAACTGCCAATCTGGTGCCATCCTTAATTTTTTAAAGTCGAGATACCAAAGATGAAAGCTCATCAGAAAAATTACTATAAAAAATATTTATAGAAAATGTATAAGGAAGCTACATTATGGTGATGACTGAAAATAAGATGCCAGATTAGGACTGATAACATTGCAGATTCTTCTATAAATCTGATTTATTTCAGTATTTAGGGAACTACCACTCACTTCCAAGCCCCAGAGCTGTCCATTTCAACCTCAGTAGACAGCCTGCTAGATATTTTACTGGCATGTTGCATACAGTATAATATTTGCATATTGTCAGCTTGATCTTGTATTCAAGAATTTAATCTCTTCTTTGCTGGTTGCTTCCTTTATGATGATGATGTTGATAACTAAATTCGATGCCAACATGCAGGTTCAGGATTAGAAGCATCCAGTTTTGTCAAAACCTGTTCCTGTCATCCATTTTCTATCACCATTTGGCTTTGCAAGAGTTGGTTGAAAGTGAAGGAAAATCAAAGTAGAAGAAAGAGCCAATGGCATGAATTTATTTATGGTGGACCTCAACTTTCAAGGAAGTGACCCACACACTTGATTTCATGACCTTCCTATCCAGCAGATATCGAATGAGACATGCAGAAAATCCAGTTATGAAACTGGAACAGACTGCTGCTGATTCTGTTATAATTTCAAGTGGCGCCTTCTGTAGCATGTCCGTCATGCGTAGCTCTCTTCATCCACTGGTTCAACCATTGAGATTTGTTGTAATCGTCATCCACTTGTTCTACCGTTGTGGTTTTTGGGGTTGGTCTTGGTTAGTCTTGGTCCTCGTCTTCAACCTTGTTGTCAGGGGTGGTCCTACTAGGAGTTTAGAACTCCCTACAGCATCACTCTCTACGACCGGAGAGTACAAAGTGTGAGTATAACAACCAAGATGAGTTTTTGAGTCCAAATTTACTTTCAGAATACGAAACTCATTTTGGTTTATCTTGGTATCGTCGTCGATTTTATCTCGTACCCAAGAATCTAGTTTCCTCTTTAACTTATCGATTCCTTTATGATTGTGGTGTTGATGACTATATTCACTGTCAACATGCAGGTTCATGACTAAAAGCTTCTAATTTCATCAAAACTTGCTCCCGTCATCTATTCCCTATCTCTGTTTGGCTTTGCAAAAGTTGGTTGAAGGTGAAAGAAAATCCAAGTAGAAGGAAGTGTTGATAACATGAATTTGTTTAAAGTAAACCTCAACTTGCCAGGAAGTGACCCACACACTTGATTTCATGACTTTCCTCTACAGCGCACATGGAATGAGACATGCAGTATCCAGTTATGAAACTGCAATGTTCTGCCGCTGACTCTATTATAATTTTGAGTGGCACCTTATGTAGCATGTCTCTCATGTGTAGCCATCTTCATACACTGGTTCAGTCATTGAGATCTGTTGAAATCATCATCTGCTTGTTCCATCATTGGGGTTTTGGGGGTTGGTCGCACTTTGGATCTTCGTCTTTGACATTGCTGCCAAGGGTGTCCATACTTAGAACTTCCGATGTCATCACTCCCAGAGTCATTGGACCATACAAGCCCATTTGCCTTACTGACAGATATAAAAAAAAAGGTTACGTAAAAAACGTACAAAAAAAACATAAATAAATATGTAGATTTCTTCATCTGCTGGTTCAACCATTTTTGATCTGCTGTAATCATCATCAATTTGTTTGACCATTGGGGTCTTTGGGGTTTGCATATTATATAACCAGAAGGTCCATTTGACATAGTTGCATTATAAACCACAGGTATATTTACCCAGCCTCCCCACATAGGCAGGATGTGACACAATACATATGCATATGGGCCAAAGACAAAAATTGTTGTTTTATCCAACTCCAGCGACAACTGCTAAACTGGCATTGGTATTACAACACCCCACTCTATTAGTGCAATGAGGAAGGTGCTGACACAGGGTTGGAACCCCCAGGGCTGAGCAACTTCTCCCATCTAAAGTAAGGAGAATCATAGCTGCACTTAGAGCACAGGTGCAATAAATCCTTATTGGCTAATGCTTAAGTCCTGCACCAGGTAAACCAAAGGTGGGCTCAGTGGGTGCTAAACAAACACACATGTGCCTGAGCCGGTATCTGTGACAGGGATTGACTTGTTGCCCTAGCAGATTGGAAAATGAGAGTAGCTATGAATTTTCTTTCTCTCTCTCTCTGTATATATATGTGTGTATATATATATAAATATATATATATATATATTTGTGTATTTAGGCAGCAATCCTTCTTTCATGCACATTTCATTGAATACGACAGACAAGGTGCTTTTATATATATATATATATATATATATACACAGGTATACCTTACCCTATGCCATTAATTGGTTCCAGAGGTCATGACTTAGGTCGAAAAACGACTTAAACCGAAATAACCACACTATAAACCGTAAATAAGCATTTCCTATTGCCTATTACAGTCTTTATGATTTTACATACAGTATTCTGAATAAAATAATTAAAAATAATTAAGTAAAAAACAATTTTAAATTTACATAAACTTGAGTAAAACAACCTAAGGCTAGTTTTATTTTTCCATATGATATTTAAGAAAAATCGATGTATCTTCAAAAATGATTCAACTCAAAGCAACTTAACTCGAGGTATCACTGTATATAAGTATTGGCTGAAAAAACCATCAGGTCAAAACCGTGGTTGTGTATTTTAATTGACCTGCTGATTTTTAAACTTAAATGCTCTACATGTTATTTTTTATTTTTACTTACTTTTTCTCACATGTATTGAGCACTTTTTAATATTACTGTTCCTTAGTCTGATTCAACTCTGATCATTAACCTTTATAATGGCAAATAAATAAAAGGCTTTTTCTATTGCAGAACCCAGCCAGCATATCAACTGGCTCCAGAACAAATGGTCTGTTGCTCTGGAAGAGAATGAACAATTAAAGAAAAGAATTGCTAAAAGTGATGAGAACCACATGAGTGAATTACAAATTGCTTTGGAAATAAAGGAAAAAGAAACTGTGGAGAGAATAAAAGAAGCAGAAGAAAAAGCCATGCTTCAAGGTATTTACATTCTTAAAGACATTTATGAAAAAAAAAAAAAAAAAATTACCAGCAATACATTTTTGAAAAAAAAAAATACATATTCTATTCATCCAAACCTATCCTAAAAATCTTGTCGGTATTAAATAATTCACTGAGGTTGATATGCTGTAAAACAAAATAAACCAAACCAACTTGTGTCTTCCCTCCAAGGATTAAAGGTAACCAGCAATCATTGTTAAATCTCACCCTGAATAAGAAAGCTTTAAATTTAAAAATGTGCTTTTCCCCTGTTTTGTACAGGCAAAGAAAACTTAGCCAACGCTGTAGAAGAAATGCAGAATTTACAAGTGGAAAAACAAGCAGCAGCTGTTAAAAAAGAGAAAGAAAAGATCGAAGACCTAAGCATCACGGTGGATAAATTAAAGAAGGTCAGTGTTAATTACATTACACTTAGGTGCTTAATAGAAGAGGGGATCTTAATAATCGGGAGTTGGTGTGGAGCACACATTTTCACAATATTCAATAAACAGGGAGGGATTCCGAATAGAAGTAAGGGGGTGTCAGAAAATCATTTTAAGGGACAAAAAGTGTGAAATTAATAAACAAGATGTTTTTAACAAGTTCAGGAGGAGCTCAAAAAATGTCCCTTACCACTGATTAGGCTTTAAAAGCTAATATCACTTTAAAATTTGTGATGAAAAGCAACTGAAATTAAGTGAAAAAAATATGAGTGAAAATTTAATAAAAGTTAACAATACTGCATTTAAATAAATGAAAAATAATAATACTACTACGAACACTTGTGTATGTAAAAAAATGATAACATATGCCAACCGAAATAATACTATATATATATATATATATATATATATATATATATTAATAGTTGTACTCATTTGGAAAACCTCGGATAGCTCAACTTGCAGATATGTCAGGCCAAATCAGTACTTGAGGAAAAAATTGGAAATAAAAAAGAAAGAACTAAAAACAGTTAGCAAGGTCGATTTTACTGTTTTTAAACTACAATCTTCATGATTCTCTCACATACATTCATATCTGCTCATTGTGTATCCAGATAACAGTAAAATCGACCTTGCTAACTGAATGATCCTCTGTGGCTCAATCAGTTAAGGCACATCAGGCTATATGACAGTTCCGTATAGGATACAGTTTCAATTCCTGTTAGATGACGAATATTTTCTATGAAAATTTCTCGGGCATTCAGGCAGGTAAATATTGTTTAATACTGTTTATTATAAACAGAGCATTTACTTAAATATTTGTACCTATAAAAAGAATGTATAAACATAAAAATGTCTTAATATAAATCTTTACTGCCATAGATGGGCCTACCAGGAGAGCTTGTGAGAATCTGTGGAAGAATTAGAAAATAGAAAAATTACGAAGGAGGAAGAACAAAAGAAGAGTAATCAGGAGAACAGTAGAAAGCGACTGACATTGCACTTAAATTTTTTGAAGATTAAAGTTGACTGGAAATAATGGAGCCGGAAGGGAGTTCCACAAGTAAGAAGTGTAGGTTAAGAATCTCTTAGCATAGATACTCACAAGGTGCTCCACACTTTCGGTCTTGTGCCACATCTAAGTTACTCTTACAAAATCATTTACAGCACTTTGACAGGGTGTAATAGCAAGATTGTCTTGCTAGTTCAATTACAACTGAGCAGTGAGTTTGAACCTCACTGGGTGCTCCATGCTTTCGACCTTGTGCCACATCAAAGCTATGCTTAGAGAACCACCATAGAGAAGGAAGAGTTTTGAGAAAAGTAATAAATTCTATATATAAAACTACACTTTTTGAACAAATTAGAAAATTTCTAAAAAAGAGAAATTGAGAGATCAACAAAACCTATCGAAAAATAATACCATCAAATGAAGAGAGTTCTTTACATTTCTTTTTTAATCGAGTTCACCCCAAGCAAGGCAGTAAAGCCACTAAGATGCAAGTGGTTATTGGGTGTAGAAGAATACGAAAACAGGAACATTGCTTAGAAACGAGAACAAAAGAAGAATAATCAGGAGGAGAATAGAAAGCGATTGACATTGCACTTAAATTTTTGAAGATTAAAGTCAACTGAAAAATATGGAGTGGAAGAGAGTTCCACAAGTGAGAAGTGCGAGAAAAGAAACTGTTAGCATAGAACTTACAGTTACATCTAATATTCTCAACTGTAAATTGGTGAGATCTCGTCTTGTACTTTGCTTAAATTCATAAAGCCTAGGTACCATAATGAAGAACTTGTCTGAACATTTGCCATGTATTTTTTAGGGTTAAAAAGGGCATCACAAGACTACAACAGGATTAGAGTCTTACGAACAAAATCATATTTGAGATACAACAAAATATGCATAGAAAAAATAATGATAAATTGGTTTGGTATACATTTCAGAGAAATGATTGTATATTTTAACGAGCATATATTTATACAGTGTTGTAAGCTAGGGAAGGTTACTGAATAGAATAATCACCCAAAGGTTGGTAATGAATGATAATACTTAGGACAAGAACAACACTAGAAGAATTAGTCAACTGCTAGAAGTGAGTCAAGTGAATTCCACAATGAATCTCCAACTGCAGACCAACATAGAGTATTTACTACTGTCTTTATATGAATGGGGACATACCCATTATCATCCATAGGTATCCTGCAACATGGAGAAATATAAAAATTTTACTTGATGGCAATATGTTTTATCCCAGACTGTCTAGAACATCTGCCTTTTTTGATAGTCGAAAAACAAAAAGAGAGAGAAAATTTTGATTTTTGCTTCTTTTGGTGGTAAAATCCTTCTATTGATGCATCATGGGAGTATTCTATATTTTATTTAACTATTTTTTTATAATCTTTTTCTTCCTTTATTATTAACTACCATTCTTATCTATATTTTAAAGTATTTTTATTGTAAACTTTTAGTTTTTCTTTTATTATGAATTATTTTGATTCCAGATGACTACTTAGTTTACTAATAGGGGTTGGGGGTTATTTAGTAATTTACTTATTGTTATTACTACAATGTGAATAATAGTATAAATCAATAATTCTGATATTTCTATTGCTGCTTGTTAAAGTTGATCAATGAGAAAGACAAAGAAACTCAGGATAAATTGGAAGAAGCCAACAAAGTGTTGACAGAGATGGAAGAGTTAAAGGTAAGTTTTATTTGCATTGTTGTTTACCTAGTATGGTAGATGGCCAGAAATGTAGAGCATCAGTGATGACTGAACTGACAATAACATTAATGTCCTTAGTTTTGTTATATTTTGTTTTGTGTCATATCAATCTTTTCCTGGTTATTTAAAGCCAAATTCTGTCATTTTCATAAAACAATATTTATCGTGGGCACAGGTTCAATATGTATGAGAATTAAAAAGGTAGACACAGTATATTTGCTGTTTTTTGTTTGTGACGTGTGTACATTTTTGTTGTAAGTGTGCACATTTGTTGTGAGGTTTGTATATTTTTTGTGAGGTGTGTACATTTTTGTTTGGAGGTGAGAGGATTCTACAGATTTTGTTGTGAGGTGTGCACATTTGTTGTGGGGTGTGTACATTTTATGAGGTGTGAATATTTTTTGTGAGATGTATAGATTTGTTGTGAGGAGTGTACATTTCTGTTTTGAGGGTGTACATTTTTGTTGTGAGATCTGTTCATTTGTTGTGATGTGTGAACATTTTTATTGTTAGGTTTTACATTTTTGTTGTGAGGTTTGTACATTTTTGTTGTGAGGTGTATACATTTTTGTTGCAAGGTGTGTAAGTTTGTTCTGAGGTGAGTACATTTTTGTTATGATGTGTGTACATTTGTTTTGAGGTGAGTACATTTGTTGCAAGGTTTGTACATTTTTGTTGTGAGGTTTGTAAATTTGTTATTCATTGTGTACATTTTTATTTAAGGTGTGCACATTTGCTGTGAGATGTATTCATTTGTTGTAATGTGTGTACATTTTTGTTGCGAGGTGTATTTATTTGTTGTGAGGTATGTACATTTGTTGCAACATGTAAACATTTTTGCTGTGAGGTGTATCAATTTTTTGTGAGGTGTATGCTTTTTTGTGTGAGGTTGCATATTTGTTGTGAGGTTTGCATATTTTTCTTGTGAGGTGTGTATATTTGTTGTGAGTGTACTTTTTTTAGAAGTGTGTACAGTTTTGTAGCGAGGTGGTTTGATGTGTGGTTTGTTCATTTTTGTTTGAAGTATGCACACTTGTTGTGAGGTGTGTATATTTGTTCTGAGGTATGTACATTTGTTATGAGGTGCGTATATTTTGTTGTGAGGTGTGTACATTTTTGTTGTGAAGTGTGTACATTTGTTTTGAGGTTTGTACATTTTTGTTGTAAAGTGTGTACATTTGTTATGAGGTGGGCATATTTTTGTGGTGAGTTGTGTACATTTGTAGTGAGGTGTGTACACTTTTGTTCATCTCAGAAATATAGACAGATTCTGAAGAAGGCCGGAGCGTACAATGGCCGAAACATTGTGAATATGGCAATACAGATGAGGACAACAGTCTGAACAATGTAAATAATGTAAATAATTACAATACTTCTTCTCAGAAATATAGATAGATCCTGAAGAAGGCTGGAGCGTACAACAGCCAAAACAACATGAATATGGCAATGAAAATGAGGAGAACAGTCCGAGCAATGTAAATAATGTTAATGATTACAATACATTATCTCAGACCTATAGACAGATATTTAAGCAAAATGATTGTAATAAAAAAGAAAGAAAAACATCAGTTTACATTGACACAAGGATATGGGTTAAATAACTGTACAATATTACTACATATTAATGCCTTAAAATTGGTTGCATACAAGTACAAATATATTTACTTTTCAACAATATTAAATAAACAGAATGTACAGTAATCAGCTTTGTGTTTTGTAGGAGAAAAACAAACATTAATAAAAGAAAAATAATGATAGCATTAATTGTCCTATTTTAAAAAAAGTTTTGCAAATTATGTATAAAGGAAAAATTAAGAGTTGTGTTTTTATATATCTTGACTGTTGAAATCAAATCCTGTCAACTAACATATATCAAAATATATAGAAAAACTTATATCAGATTAAACTGACACCAACACGTTAATGATTAAACAGATTTACATTTTGCTCAAGTATAAAATGGACCAATATTTACATTTTGGCTCAAGTATAAAATGGACCAATATTTACATTTTGGCTCAAGTATAAAATGGACCAATATTTACATTTTACCTCAAGTATAAGATGGACCAATACTTACATTTTGCCTCAAGTATAAAATGGACCAATATTTACATTTTGCCTCAAATAGATATTTACATTTTAGCTCAAGTATAAAATGGACCAATATTTAAATTTTGGCTCAAGTATAAAATGGGCTGATATTTACATTTTGGCTCAAGTTTATAATGGACTCATATTTACATTTTGACTTACATATAAAATAGACCGATATTTACATTTTAACTCAAGTATAAACTAAACAACTGTTTATCACTTGACTCAAAATTACAACCTTAAATCTCCCAAGGGTTGATACAGTGTAACCCGGATATAAGAGACCCGGATATAAGAGAAACCCGGATATAAGAAAGATTTTCTCTGGTCCCAAATTAGAGCCTGTGTTAATGTAAACAAAATAGACCAAACCCGGATATAAGAGAAACCCGGATATAAGAGACTTCTTCTCCGGTCCCGATAACTCTCTTATATCCGGGTTACACTGTATATTGTTAACCATTCTAACCCTAACCTCTGCATGCAGTGTTCAATGAAATCTTTCTTACATAAATATCTACAAATGTATTCTTATAAAATTCACAAATTTGAAAGTGGCAACTCTTTTGGTTGTAAATATCAACTTCCAAGGCTGTAGAGAAATGGCGTTCACCTAATGACTAATTAAGGAATAACTGAAAAATCCTATTATTTCTGTTGCTAAGATTTCTTGCCAAGTTCACTTGATGACTGGACACCATTAATTTATTGGAGAAAGAATACTTATGACTTCTTCCTTCTGTCGTATCTAAGAAGCTAAGAGTTTGGTTGACAAATGCACTCCCTTTCTGCAGGAGCTTGTAAAAATTGATGGTTTGCTAAAGAGACTTTATCTTCTGCTAACTCATGAAACCCAACTTGCACTAATGCATAATGCTAACAAGCTGTCACAGCTCAATTTACCCATTCACTCTTGCCACTGGATTGACAGGCCCTGATGGAATTAATGACATAATCTAATAATAATAGTAATATCGTTCTGTCGCTGCATTATTAATAGCAGACTACCTGTCAAAAATGTAGCAATTGAATACTTCTAATGAACATAAGACTATCTGTATTATCCTTCTTGAATCAAAGGGTTCCTTTCTGACTCTCTGCTTAGGATCAGTGCAGTATCTGTGTATTCTGCGGAATTTAGTGTCTCCAATTTTAGCATGCTTTTAAAGCAGCAAGAATGCTATCACACTGGATGTGTTATTTGATTGCCTAATAATTCTGAGTTAATTTCTGTCTGAATTTCTGAGGTGAGAAAATTATCATTATTGTAGGAGGATATTACTCTAAATATAAATAATGATAAATCCTTAAGTCATAGATTCCGTCCAAATACAAATGACAATGTGGACATTGGTCCAAAAGTAAATAATAATTCCTCATCGCAGCTATTCAAACAATGTTGGCATCAATATTACAGCAACCTTTTCTTTCTTACTGCAATGAGGAGGGTGCTGCTATTGGGTTGGTATCCTAGGGACTGAGCAAGTTCCCCCATTTAAATTAAAGACAAACTCCTAGGCTATGAGTCACTGTTGGGATACACCAGTGACACATTGCCATTTCAGATGGTCAACATGCTGCAATACAACAGTGACACATTACCGTTTTGAATGGTCAATGTACTGCAATACACCACTGATACATTGGCATTTTTTGCTGGTGGACATGCTGCAATGCACCAGTGACACATTGCCGTTTCGGATGATCGATATGCTACTGATACCAGTCAGCCCTTCTATTAAGTCCATGCCTGATGGGGAGAAAAGATGGATTTATACTTTTCCCTAGGATATTTGTGTGAAAATGAATGCAATGAACTTTCTTGTTCTGAGTGACTAATAATTCCACTGTCTGCACATATGCTTATTTCATTTTTCTTACTCCCATTAACTGCAGCTGTTTTTTACCTTTGTCTAATTTCCTCTTATTTCCATTTTTTAAAATATTTTATTACATTTATACTTAAAATTTATTCAAAACTGTTTATGTATATTTGTTTAACACTTTACTTACATTTTTTAGCACAATTTAATCTCTTAAATGCTTAAAATGTCCTCCTTCAACATTGCAACATTCCTTGAACTTCTCCAGAACTCTATGACACACAGCACGACACAAATCCCCATCTGCATCAACTTCAATAAATACTTCTCAAATGTACTTTTTTAATTCATCCACTGTATGGGGATTTCTCTCATAAACCTTGTTCATTGTAACACACCAAAAAAAGAAGTCTATTGGTGTCAATTCAGGCAAACATGATAGCCATTCAATGCTGCCCCTTCCGAACCAACGCTGTGGAAAGATTTGGTTAAGGTAGTCCCTTACTGCCAAAGCATAATGGGGTGGGGGGTGGGGGTCTCCATCTTTCTGAAAGAAGAGTTTGGTGAAGTTAGATCTAAAACATGTAACAAATAGTGAAACAACTATATACCTACTTTTGGCCCACTCTGTATTTCTATTTTTATAGCATTTAATATATATTAAAAAAACCCTGTTTTTGACTATTGATATTGACAAAGCTGAGCTTAATTTAATAGCCCAGATAAAAGTAAGAAGATCACGCTGCCATAACTCACTGATATTCTACAGATACTTTCTAAACTTACATTAGCATGGCACATAACCAAATAAGAAAAACTTTTTTATTTTTATTTATTTTTTTTTTTTTAGGCATTTTACCCCAAGCAAGGCGGGAAGCCACTAGGATGCAAGGGGTTACAGAAAATATAGAGCGAGATCAGATAGGAGTGATAGAAGAGAGTATGAGGAGAAGGGTAGTGGATAGATCAAGGCAACTGGAGATGTCGATTGACATTACACTTGAATAGCTGGAGATTATAGCTCTCAGGGAAACTGGAATAGGGAAGAGAGTTCCACAGGCAAGAGGTGCGAGACATGAAGCTATTAGAGTAGAAGAGACAGCTACATTTAGGAGTTTCGACAGTGAAAGAGTGAGAGTGGGATGCCAGCCTTGTAGGGCACTTGAACTCATGAAGTCTGGGAACCAGCGAATGCAGCTCCTCGGAGCAATTGCCATGAAAGTATTTGTAAAAAAGACAGAGAGAGGCAACGGCGCGTCTGTGAGAAAGGGACTGTAGGCGAGATGCCGGAGCAGGGCCAATTATATTGCATATCCGCCTCTGGAGCCTATCAAGAACCCCGAGGCAAACAGTAAGGTTCACCCTATACAAGGTCTGGGGACCACTTGAGCTAGAGGGTTATGTTAAAGCCTAGTTTATACAGATAGGTGAAGATAACAGTTAACTCTAACCTTGAACAGGTTAAGATTGTACTGATTGGGGAAACATCTTCTTGGGAGTTGGCACCACAGAGCAATGGTTCACAGGAAGAAGTTGCTCAAGTGGAACTTATTTTTCACTGATGGAACATGGTGGGAATGTGGGTCGTTTGCTACAATGAAAGTAGCATAGCGGATTCTAGCTGTGAAAGTTAGACTTGCGCCAAACCAAGGAATGTAGTTCATCCAAGCACTTTGCATGGAAGTAGTGATAGAGCAGTGAGAGGCTTGCCACACCCCACCTGGGGAAGAAAGTTTGGAGGGTGGAAAATAATTTGTCTCCCACAAGGATTTAGAGATGAGTTTAAACTCTATTAAGACCAGAAAGTGAGGATTGGGTAGCTCCCACCCAAATATGTCAACAGTACTCCATTTTCAGCCTGATCTGGCTCTTATAAAGGTAGAGGATAGCATGAGAAGTCAGGTACTTAATAAAGGGGGACAGGGAGCCGATCATTTTACCTGCATCTTTAGTAATGGATCATATATAGGAATTCCACTTGAGGTCAGGTGTGTGTTTGAGGCCCAATATCCTCTTGAGGAACAGGGCCTCCTCAAGGGGACATCTATTCATTGTGATTGGTAGTAGTTCTGGGTCTGATCAACAGTGATGGAATGTAACCACACTGGTTTTAGAGACATTGAATGTAACCAGCCAGTTTTTTACCCACTGGGAACTTAGTGTTAGATCAGAGGAGAGGTCAACAGCCAATCTCTGATGGTCAAGACTTTTAGAGGTGTGCCCGTATATTGTCATATCATCGGCATAAACACTTAAAAATTAATTTACTATATTCTTAGGTAGATCACTTATGTAAACCAAAAAGAGGGTTGGTCCGAGAAGTGACCCCTAGGCCTTGGAGAACTGGCCATAATTCTTCTCCCACAAGGACTTGGAGACACTTTTGAACTTTATCAAATATGGCAACAGTACTCTTCGGTTTTCATTTTCAGCCTGATCTGGCTCTTATAAAGGTAAAGGATAGCATGAGAAGTCAGGTACTTACTGGAACAGTACAGGGAGCCAACCATTTTACCTGCATCTTTAGTGATGGATCGTATATAGGAATTCCACTTGAGGTCAGGCGTATGTTTGAGGCCCAATATCCTCTTGAGGCACAGCCAGTTTTTTACCCACTAGGAAGTTAGTTTTAGCAGAGAGGAGAGGTCAACTGCCAATCTCTCATGGTCAAGACTTTTAGAACTATATCAAATATGACAACAGTATTCTTCAGTCTTTGTTTTCAGCCTGATCTGGCACTTATAAAGGTAAAGGATAGCATGAGGAGTCAGGAACTTAATGGAGCAGTACAGGGAACCAAACATTTTACCAGCATCCTTAGCAATGGATCATATGAGTTCCACTTGAGGTCAGGTGTGAATTTGAGGCCCAATATTCCCTCAAGGTATGGTGCCTCCATGAGAGGACATCCATTCTTTGTGACTAGCAGTAATTCGGGGTCTGATTGGCAGTTTTTCAGGCATTGAATGTAAACAATCAGTTTTTTCCCCGCTGAGAAGTTAGTGCTAGATCGGAAGAGAGATCAGCTGCCAATCTCTGATGGTTAAGTTTTAGAGGTGCGCCCGTATATAGTCGTATCATCGGCATAGATGTTTACAAATGATCTGAGTATATTCTTAGGCAGATGATTTATGTAAATCAGAAAAAGGGTTGGTCCAAGAATTGGCCCTTTTGGGGGATGCCTGTGTTGAGCACCATGGCCTCAAAGGACTAGCTGTTAATAACTACCTTCTAAGATCTACCTTTTAGGAAGGACTTTATAATTGAGAAAACTCTTCCCATGATTCCATAGCTGGAGAGCTTGTGTAGCAAACCTTTCTGTCATACTTTGTCAAAGACCTTTGAGATATCTAATGCTATGGTTCTTTGAGGTGTGTCAAGATCCCCACTAATTCTGTGTGTAATGGTAATGGATGTCAGCAGTGGATTGAGCCAACTGAAGCCCTTACTTTTCATTGCACAGGAGGTTGTTCTTATCTAGGTGTTCAGTGACCTTTTTGATTACCCTTAAAAACTTACTGATGATACTGAGGAGAATTATTTAGATATTTATTTACTTAAGAATGCTGAAAGTGGAGCTCTATAGCTAAGGAGTGTCAAAAGGATGATAGGAAATTATGCAAACTATAAAGGGAAGTTAGTGACTATGGATATATTATCAGCTGATATGTTTCCAAATCTGTACTGGAAGAATTTGGTTTTGTGCAATTGGCTTCTTTTTCAGGTTCATAAATCTGAGCTCGAAGAGAGACTGCAGGTGGCAAGAGACGAACTCGGGTTGCAAGCAGAGAAAAACAAAATCCAACTGCAAGCTGATAAGAACCAACGAGAAAAGGAGATTTTGACTTACAAAGAGCAGATCAAGCAGCATTCGATAACCATTTGCACCTTGGAGGAGAAGTTAGCCAAGATGACAAAAGCCCATAAAAAATCTATGGACCAAGTGGCAACATTGGAGGAGAAACTGCATGGTAAGTAGACATTGAGACATTTATTAACATTAAGACGATTCATAGAAGAAAAAAAAAACAGAAGTTATGCCATCTTCTATCAATAATCGTTGGAAGCCTCTCAAGCCTTCATTAAAAGCAGCCAAATGAAGCCGAGGATGCCAGTCTAGTAGGGCAGCTAGTTAATCCCCAGGCATATTTGTGTTTGTTCAACACCCATAGAGTCCATCTGTGGTTTATACTTCAACTATGCTGAGCGGATCTTAGTTACAGTTTCTGGTAGAGACTGCTTTAACTGACATGATCAACAGTCTGAACAAAGCTAGCATGCTCAAATCCTCGGTCTACTAAGCATTCCGTCTACCTAATTTCACTCACAAGGCTTGAGTCAACCCAAGCACACCAGTAATGTCAGGAAGCTTTCTTCCTGACAAATCGACTATGTTCAGATAACCTGGTCGAGTTAATGATTATTCTAATTTAAAAAAGCAGAATGTTTTTTTTTTATTATAATCTATTATAATAAAAATAATAATAATAAAACTGATATAAATAAAAATATAAATGGCATAGCCACTCAAATCTAAGGATGCCAGTCTAATTTAGTAGGGTGGCTATCTAATCCCCACTGCAGACGCCTGCTCAGGCACATTTCTGTTTATTCAACACCCACAGAGCCCACCTGTGGTTTATACTGCAACTATGCTGAGTGGACCTTAGTTACAGTTTCTGGGAGAGAGCGTGTTATCTGACATGATGAACAATCTGAACAAGGCCAGCACACTCAAACCCTCAGTCACGATGACTTGTGACTTCATGCTAGTACAACCACTGATGGCTCCCAAGGATTACATCTCCCCAATTTCACTCACAAGGCTTGACTCAACCCGTGGTATGGTTTTCAGGCACTTTCCAAAGGTGCTGCATGCTGAGATCGCCTCCTCCATTCCGATAACATCAAGAAGTCTCCTTCCTGACAAATCGACCCTGGTGAGACCTGGATCTCATGGTCAGAATGCAAATGTTCTAACTACTCAGCCATGTGCCCACAATACTTTATTGCTATTTCCATGTCAAATATTCTGATGAGCAACAATCCTTCGTTTCACCAGTTCAGACCTTTACAACTAAGATACGCCATGCCATGTACACTGGGATAAATCACCCCCATTTCCTTTGTATTCCATTAGTAGGGAAGAAGTTCTAGATGGACAGCTTCTTCCCAAGTGTTATTGCTTTGCAGAACAGGCTTCTAAGAGCATGCTTCCTCGATCATTACAATCTTAACCTCTTCAAGTTTAGAGTCAGCCGTTATATCGTGTACATATCTTCATAACATATATTATTTTACCTCCTTACGTTCATACAACAACCTTATTCAGTAACACTCTACTTTGAGGGGCTCTTAGGCCCTGTATTGTGTTGACAACAGTAAAACAAAAATGCTTGTACTCATTCGTGACCAGGTAAAAATTTTTTCTGGTTTGCAATGCATTTATATTATGTATATAATATACCTAATAATTATTATCATTAAAATAACATTTTGATGACGAAATCTTTACTTTGACATCAAGTTTAAAATATGTATGTGTGTCTATGCGTGTATGTTTCTATGTGTGTACATCTGATTGTCGTTCCTTGTTATGGTGGAAGGGATTTTATGGTCCATTGATTTTGACTAGGATGCTGTTCTAGAGCCACACTCTTGGCATCAGACTAAGCATGACCAACTCCCCCAAAGCCCCAACAGTGAAACACGTGTGAAAGGACTAAACACTAATTACAAGAAGACAGAATGCATTGTTATCAGCAAAGGGATGAGCCCTACATACAAATTACAAATTGGAGATACCAAAACCAAACCACCGCACCAATTTGAATATCTAGGAAGTCTTTTAACGGAGGACGGAAATTGGGACATTGAAATCTGAAGGTGCTTTGGGATAGTGAAAGAGGCTTTCCGAAAGCTAAGCAAAGTATTAATAAACAGGAAAATTTTGTTAGAAACAAAGAAAAAAAACTAGTGAACTGTTATTTAATATCAGACTTCCTATATGACAGTGAATGCTGGACAATCTTTTCACATATAAAGAAGAGATTTGAAGCAACAGGAATCTAGTTCTACAGAACGTTGCTAGGAATACCATGGACTGAACATGGGAGCAACAACGAAGTTTTAGAGAAAATGGAAAAAAAAGGTAACTTTGTACTTGATAGTTGTAATTTCTAGGGCACATAAGGAGAAAAGAGGGATTGGAAAATTTAATACTCACAGGACAGATAAAAAGCGAGAGGCGTATAGAAAAACGACGCATAACCTATGTAATAAGCTTGTGTAAATGGATGGCGTAACAAGGTTTAGGAGAGATAACAAAAAGACAAAATTTATTAAGAGCTACAAAGGACAGGAAATTGTGGAGAGCGATGATCACCAACGTCCTGAAGGGACACATCACATAGAAGAAGAATGAGCTTGTGTGGCAGAACAGGGTTTAGGAGAGATAACAGAAAGACAAAATTTACTAAGAGCTTCAAATGAGAGGAAATTGTGGAGAGCCTTGATTGCCAGCATCTTCATGACATAGAAGAAGAAGAAGAAGAAGAAGAAGAAGAAGAAGAAGTGCGTGTGGATTATATACAAAGGTGTACTTAAGATCGCACAGAAATAAACAGTGGCAGACATTACTTACCTAACAATAAACAAAAGGATTAAAAGTAGATAATTGAATATTCTTGAACAATGTGATTGTTCAAGATTCTGATTTCTACTTTAGGTTAAACACTGACCATTGGCGCTGGTTGCAAAGACACAACAATCAATTGTTTGTCTAATAATTAAATATAATCATGGCCGGTGCAAAGGTTTTTATAACCGCCGCCCCTACCCCGAATCTATGATACCCCTGCAATCTATGATATGACCTACCCACTCTACTACATCTCAATTTTCATAAGGTACTATATTCATTACTGCGATTGTTTTCAGCAATTTTTTACGTGATTTTTTATGACAAAATTTTTTGTACAATAACAATTTTTATAACTTGGAAATAAATTTCGGAATAATCGAAATTAATTGCGAAATCCAGCGAAAGTCAGCCATGAAATAAAAATAATTGTTTGTACAGAAAGAAAGGACTTACGTACATAAAATTGTCTTTAAATTAAGTGGCGGCAGAAGAATTATCATTGAACTTTTAAAAGGTAAGCTTAAATATTAATGCAATATTCAAATGCAGCGATCAATTTTGAGTTCTTCTGTAGTTTATTGTTGCCTATCGCATCTACTCCTCCCTACCTATTGTGATGAAGGTCCAATCAAGAGCCCTCCGTGGGAGCTAGTTTTAAATAAATCAACAATGTTTTGTAGCAATTTTTAACATTGACTTAAAATTATTCTTGTTAAAAATTTGGATAATTTTAACACCTTCAACATTATGGATAAAAACTAGTGAATTTTATATAGTTTTTTTTTATACAGATATGTGTAGACACTAAAAATGACGTTAAAGTGATATTATATGTATGCATGTATGTATGTATGTGTGTATGTATGTATGTATGTGTGTGTGTCTGTGTGAGTAGGTTTGTATGTACAGGGTGGTCGTAAAGTCTTGTTACCCGTTACCAAAAAAAAAAAAAAGTCATGAGAACAATAGAAGAACAAGTAAAATAGTAATGCAAAGCACATGGACTGAATTCAGTTTATTCACTTTCATTGACGCTGTCACACATCGAGACGGCTTGGCACAAAATGATGCGGCTATCTATTTATCTATCTATCTATCTATCTATGTATCTCGTGCCCGATGAGTTGGATGACCAACGAAACTCGATTCGCTCACCAAACGTAACTATATTTCTTAGCTCTGTCTAATCACACTAAGTACTATTACAGCTCTTGGATAAATTTCGTAATTACTTAGTTCTTTCCCAGCGTCTGCATGGCAGCACACGCGTATACTGAAGGTCCAGTCATCCCCTACCAAAAAGCAATGACAACAATAGAAGAACAAGTAATACAGTAATACAAAGCACATGTACTGGATTCAGTTTTATTCACTTTCATTGACGCTGTCATACATCGAGAAGGTCTATATGAACACCACCATTCTTGTGTCAGCCATCTGAAATAGAAAATTATATGACGTAGTAGTGACAAGATTTTCAGACCACCCTTGAATTCAGCGCAGGCCTCCAACATTGGCTGCTCTATCAAGACTTACAGAACTCAATCTCTCTTGCTATTTAATTTAACCTATAGCTAGGAGGAGAAGAAATGAATAGAGATGCCTCCCTGCCCCCCCCCCCCCTTAGAATGTCTGGCGCTCAACTTCTCGAGAGCACCTCTCTGCGGCTGCTCGGTCTCACGTTGACTGCTGACCTGAGATGGAACAAATACATTGAGTCAATTACTTCGTCCACCGTAAGGAAAGTTGGCTCCCTGTGCTGCGCCAGGAAATCTTTCTCAAATCTACAAATCAACAATTCGACCTTGCACGGAGTATTGCTGCCATATTTGGTCTGGGGCCCATACTGTTTACCTCGGGGTTCTTGATAGGATCCAGAGGCGGATATGCAATATAATTGGCCCTGATCTGGCATCTCGTCTACAGTCGCTCTCTCACAGACGTGCCGTCGCCTCTCTCTGTCTTTTTTTTACAAATACTTTCATGGTAATTGCTCCGAGGAGCTGCATTCGCTGGTTCCCAGACTTCATGAATTCAAGCGCCCTACGAGGCTGGCATCCCGCTCTCACCCTTTCACTGTTGGAACTATTAAATGTAGCCGTCTCTTCTACTCCAATAGCTTCATATCTCGCACCTCTCGCCTGTGGAACTCCCTTTCCTTTTCTTATTTTCCTGATAGCTATAAGCTCCAACTTTTCAAATGTAATGTCAATCGACATCTCCAGTTGCCATGGTCTATCCACTATCCTTCTCCTCATCCTTTCCTCTATCACTCCTATCTGATCTTGCTCTAAATCTTCTGTAACCCCTTGCGTCCTAGTGGCTTCT